GTGTATTTGATTCTTCATTTTATTCAGTATTGTTTCTGATTGTAGACCCGGACCGCAACCCATATCAACTAATATATGACCTGGCTGAAGTTCTAATGAATCATATATTAACGACGATATCCATTCATTATATAATGGTGAATTGAGAAAAGTGTTAACATATTTCGATGATATTTCTGGTGAAAAATAATCTCTTTTTTTTCACGTTGATCGTCACAAGAAGCTGACATGTTGTTGTTTTTTGAATTTTTTACTTCTTCTAGGTAATTATTTTCCTTTCTTTCTTACACTAAAAATTGCATCAAACGCCATCGCACTTAAAAGGAGGAATCTTATCAAAAAACAAATAACTAAAAAAAAAACAACTGAAATAACATCTGCAAGGTCCAACATCGATAAAACGAAAAAACGTAGGTGCCTTTTCATCTTCTAACTATATTGTTTTACTTTCAACAGGTAGAATCATGCGATAAAAAAGTTTCAACATAATCTTCTCAACAGCACCCAACACCAATAGGCACACCCAATTGTACGATTGTTGAGGGATCAACCTCGAAAATTTTACCTTCTTTGGATCGCAATTTATTGGTACGACAATACATTTTTCTATTTCTTTATTTAATTGATCCAACGAATGAAAAAATAATAATAAAAAAAAGAATATGAAATAATGTTTAAAAAACTCAAATATATTGTAGAGAGTGACAAACTGATATAAAAAACCCAATCTCGCAATAAAAAGACACAATTGATCACTTAGGATAAGCACTTTCATCAATCAGTAATTTGGAGAAAAAAATAGCAACTATTGATCGACATATCTCAAATGTTATTCATCAAATCAGAAATATTCAACATGCACAAATTAAGAATTCTAAAGAATGCTAACATATTGATGTTTACAATCGATTGATTTGTTTCTATTGTCCACACTTTCCCTCCATTTGATCAACTCTTTGATTAAAATGTTTTTTTTTCTAAAATATTATGCCATAATGTCATTTCTGTAACAAAGATAGAATAGAAGCAATAATTAAAAAAAGAACTATGATAAAACAAATACTTTTTTGAAGCTATGAATATATGGTAGTCATTTGTTACAAAGCTCTACTGAATACAATCATTTTGTTGTTTGTTATGATGAGAATCTATGTTTGAAATTCTTTTACAGTGATTTGTCACAGATATAAGATTGATTCAGTTCTAAGACATGTTTTTTATCTCTTGTCAGGATCAACATACCGACATTTATAATCTATTAGATATATGTATCTCAATCAAACCTGCAAATCATTTGTGAAGATATCCTCTGGTGTATTATTCAGATAAAAAAAAGAATAGCCTAAAATATCGTCAGATTAAATTAGACTTTAACGGAAAGAAAAACGAGATCTCATTAAGATCTAATTTCATCACATAATGTAATTGCAAAATAACTATTCAGAGAGTTAATGATAGCTTAGAGAAAAATTTATTTCTACTTTTCTTTTTATCACTAAGGTGTGTTTCAGTATATATTTCAAAATAGTATATAATTAGGTCTTTCCATCAGTGTTCATTTTATTTTCAATACGATCTGAAATAATACTAGAGAAAGCGCTATGTTATCTATTTAGTTTTGGTTCAGCGCGATACTTATAGACATGATGTGTCTAATTCGATTCATAATATAAATGCAGTCCCTACACGCTACATGATAAACACTTTGACCGAGGCACGATGACCTAATGAACGAACAAATAATGAACAATGAAAAATGTTAAGCAAAAAGAAAAATGCCATCAATCATTCATTGTCGGTTAATAGGACGGCATCAATATTTATCCATTATTGTTTCACACAACAATCGTTTGAATATACTCAATTTGCCCAACGAAATGTTATTCACCATTTTCAACAAACTAAATATGGTCTATGTTCTCTGTTCGTTTGTAGATGCTAATGAATGGTTTGATCGATTAGTACTTGATCCTTATAGAGAAACTCATCGTTGAATTACATTCAATGAAACGTATTCTTCTTACTATCAATTTTCCTCAACTTTATTTGTTACACTTGCTAATTTTCAAGAAGAAATACTTTTACAGTATTTGACGGGTATACGATTTTTAATATTATATTTATTTTAATGAACAAAAACAGGAAATCATAAGTCATAAATTAATAATTGTCTTTGTTTTTTTCAAATTGAAGATGATTCAGTTCTTCGTAATCTTTTTACTGAGCAAATCACACATCTTAATATCGATATTCAGGATGAAGGATCAAGAAAATTCTCTGAAATTCTATAAAATATATTTACCCTGATCTTATCTTTATGTAAACGATTAATCGATTTGAATATTTTGTCAAGTGTTACCTGAACGATGCTTCCTGATGTGTGTTTATAATCTACTATCAAAGAATTGTATATCTTCAAATTGAAAATTAATGTGAAAAATTTTGATGATTGTCTTTATATTCTTGATGGACGTTTCGATTGTTTATCGACATTGATTATTTATGTGAGCAAAATTTCACTCACATCATCAAACATAGATAACACAGTAAGTATAATTTCCGATCATTGTGTCTTGAGAAAAAGCATTCAACTGAATACATAGATATTCTTAATTTCTTTTTTTTTTATAGAAAAAAGCTTGTTAGCGCAGCTCCTTTGGGACTGAAATGTGGAACTCACATATGCTCTTCAGCTTCGTTATATTAATACGAAATACAGAAGGTGTTAAATCAAGAATTTGTTGTTTTTCATTTTCTTAATTTAATATTTTTAATATTATAAGCATTGAATTAAATGGCAAATAAGACTGTTGTATGTATCCATTATTTAATGCTGCTTGCTAAGGTCTGTAATGGAGTGGGAAGCCCGAAATTTTGAACTTAAAACTTACACTCACTATTTTCTTCGAAAATATATGTGAGTTCCACAAAACTTCTCAAATTGAAATATGTCTCATTGACCTCGATTAGTTACACATTGGTTTATGATAATTGTATTATTCTATTACTTCGTTGAATGATAAATCTTGAAGAATTGATATTATATCTGTCATTATTTAGATTCGACTCTACTTATATTGATGGTATTCAATTATATGATCAAATTCTTGTTCATATGCCAGAAATAAACAAATTTACTTTCAGTATTAATATATGGGTTGACAACAAGAATACTATGATTGATCTCTTATCAAATGAAGACATTCAACACAGTTTTATTGGAAAAGGATACGGACAAGTTGTTTCGTATGTTCATCCTAAAGTACAGGAGGTCACACACAGGACTTATGTTTATTCACTTCCATATCAATTCGAAAATTTTCTTCATCTCAACAACTCTTTTCCAGGTAGTATATTTAATAAAGTTCGATATTTGATGATGACTGATACTGAACCATTTGAACATCAATTATTTCAATTCATTTCTCAAGATTTTCCTTTTCTGAAATACTTAATGATATTCAATGAACAACCACAAAAACAAACAAACAACATTCTTCTACATTGATTATATTTCCTCATCTTATATATCTCTATCTGACTGAAGCACACATGGACTATGCTGAATAGTTTCTCATTGAAAGAACTACTCATTTGCCTCGTTTATTAACTCTTCACATCAGATACGAATCACTCTTAATGGTAGCAAACAATTTTACTAATAATGCAACACATCTCAAATGATCTAAATTGAAAAGTCTTAATATACATGAGCCATTTGTTCGGTCGGAAAATTTTCATCAATATTTTCCTTTATTATAAATATTGCTTTTGTTAAAAATTCTTTCAATAAAAGGAAATAGTTTTAAATGTTAAATAGACTTGAATGATGCTAATCAAATAAAAGAAAATCAAAACAAGAAAAAATATGTTTTTCATATTTGATGATGGATGAAAAAGTTCATAGAAAAATGTCGTTTTATTTATCGTCGGCTAAAACATGCTTCGAAAATATCAAGAAGACTCAAAATTTACGTTGAAAACTCTGTATCTATGTATTCAAATAAATTCTATCACGTCTTCTTTTTTATGAGATGTCCAACTATGATATATACCCGAAAGCATTATTATTTTTACATGAAGATGTTGCATAATTTTCAATAATGAATGAAATATTTAGAGAATAATGCACATTAGATCATTTTTTATTCTTGTTTTTCATATTAACTCAATCTGTAAAATGATTAATCAATAGTTCTGAAACAGTTTCATAAGTATGAATAAAAATTTTTGGTGAAGTATAGTATGAGAAAAATATGAACTGAACCATACTTATTAAAGAAATCTCTATGTTTTCAAAAAAAATACTTCGAGGAAAATAATCGAAATTATTAAGGCAATCATTTTGTCTGATCATTTATCAACAACAATTACTAGCAATGCAAAATTTTGATAAACTTTTGTTGAATTTATTGAAAACTTCATCTGACAGAAGATAAAATTATCCTATATTAAATATTCATCTGTTAAGACAATATCAAGCTAACGAGACAATTATAAAAATTGTAAGTCATATTTTGCGTTTATGTTCTGAGCAAAATTGAATTTTAAGGTTATGGATGTGGGTGTTATTAACTCTTACTAACATCCACCTACCCACTCCTTTATTACCACATTTTTCTAAAATAGATCCGATTATTTCAGAAATGATTAGGTTTATCTTCTGATAAAAATGTATTTCGAAGATCATTATCGAATTCAATGATCCATCAACGTATAAAGGTTTTAAATTCCAATACTTTTACTTCAATTCAATCAGTTCAGCATGTACTGTATTTTATTATTGCATCATAATAGCTATTTTCTTCGTATTCTTATCCGACATAGTCATACTTCATCTACAGAGAAAGATAAATTTTATTGATTACTGTGTTACATATCGATGGTTCAGGAATTTTTAGAGATACAAAGTCGATTATTAATAATGTAAATAGATTTGTCTTCTCGTATCATTTTCATCTGAAATATTGAAAATTCAAAACTGTTCTATATGTTCTCAATTACATAAGACGATAATTTTCTGGCTTGAGCACATATGAATTAATCATATGATGTTGTGCAAGTAGACCTACAGTAGTCAAAGCTAGTTTTTCTTCCACAGCTGGCCCTCGATTTTGCCAATATTCACCAAATACACCATGAGAATCAGCAGGATTCAACTCGGAAACAATGAATTCTTTCCGAGCAATAGCTACTGTTAATCTATGCATATCTTGATCAGCAATTAAGACAGGAATTGGGCCTTCATATTTACTACTATCGAATTCATCAACAAAGGCTTGGTAAGTATCTTGTCTTTTAGCATGTCGATAGTCTACATCAAAAATAGGTAGAGCAAACACGACAGCCTGTATATTTCGATAATTTGACCCATCTTCTTCAAGTACCTGTCGAATTGCACGTGCAGAAAGTGCTCTTACTGTTTCATCGATTTCAATAGCTCTACCAGCAAATACGCCAAGTCCGATACCTGTTTCAACAACAATCTGTACTTTTTCTTCTTCACATGCTTGTAGTCGAAGTCTTGCCATTCGAACCAAATCATTTAGAAGAAGATCTATGTTTAGTTTTCCTCGTGGACCATTGGTTTGTCGACGAAAATCTCTTCCATGATAAACTTGAGGCAAAGCCGACTTTGCATTAATCTCATAAACCTCTTTCCAATTAGTTACATAAGTAAGAATATCATTTATATCATGTATTCGACCAGCAAAATCGATACCAGTTACTGAAACAAGTTTAATTCGGTTTGGCCATTCTTCTTGAAGTTCACGAGGTATTATGCGAGCATCAAATTCCATTAAAATAGGACATGTTGAAATACGAACAACAAATTTCATACGAAATGCTTCGTCTCCACATTCACTCTTTCCTTGTAAGGCTTGTAGAAGAAATTCTTTGGTCATACCTTCGACAGTCTTGTCAGCATAAACTCTGTATGACTGTTGCCAATCACGAATTTCTTGGGCGGACATCGCAAATGATGTTTTCGAGGTCTTGCTTGGAAAATGAATCACTACGTTCGGATGTATTGAATCTAGAGATTTTCGTAATTCAAATGATTTCACACCATGAACGATATATTGACCAGGAAGATTTTGAAAATTAAATGTCTGTGAAAGAAATGTTTCCATTTGAGTGGTTTCCAAATCACAATCACCACTCATTGATCCATTTTTATCCATAGGAGAAAGAGAAATCAGATGTTTGAAAAGCTGTTTGATGTTTGAATCAGTTGAACTATTAAGACCAAATGTTTTACTGGGATATAATTTCAATTGTAATGGTGAATCTGCAGTGATAGGTGAGGGTAATTTTGACTTGTCGGGTACCATATCCTTGTTTTCTGGTGAGATGTCTAATTCAGTATTTTCTATTGACGTCGTTTCAGATCTATTTGGTTCTCTTAATAAAAATGCCACTTTATATTAAAGCTATGAGTAATTGATCAAGGGTATCAGTATGAGACTCAGGCACTTGTATCAACATAGATAGTGTTTACGATAAGGTCTATACTTACAGGCTCATCAAAAGGAAAGGGTACCTTGATATTATTCGAGCTGTACAAACTTGTAGAAACATGATCGTATATTTAATATTAGAAAGCAGAATGATTAATGGAATGCACTTCACAATTTCTGAAAATTTCATAGAGTATATTGAGATACTTACCCAGTTGAATGATGAGCTTTGATGATTACAGGCTTGACGTCTAAGTGGAGCGATCTAATATAAAGTAGTTTAGATAGTTGTTGCTTCAGAATTCAAAAATACGAGACGATAATTAATGACATAAAGGCAGAGAAAATCCTATTCTATCAAACTACTTAGTAATAAAACCTTTCTATTGCGCTTCAATTTTCTGACTAACATATATCATATAGTTTTTTCCTTTTATGCGTTACATAGCGAAGTAATGAAACTTACAAAAATTTCATGAAATTCTTTTGAAATCCCTCAGATTCTAATGCAGCTTTCAATGGAGAATCTGGATCTGTAATTGGTTTTATTTCGAAAGCAAATAATGAAGAACTATCATCGCTTTTTGTTAAGAATTCAGCTTTGGTTTATTGTTAAAACTTACATTGCAATATCAAAACACACTAGTATTTGACTAAATTATCGTTAAAAACAGTTAGAAACTATGACAAATTTATTATCTAATGATTAACGTAAAATGCTCTTCAAATTCTGGAAGTTTTAGTAGATTTGAAATTAGACAGCTGATCGAATTCAAAGATTCTGTCGATATTTCCTTGTACAACACGTAACGATCATCGACAGTCGATTCGCTCGACCGTAGACTAAGCGACTAGTAGAAAAACCCGAAACCACCTATGTCTTTTTCTCTGCAACACATGGTAAGAGTGACCACTGGGATGGTACACATGGTCAGAGAGATGATTCATGTGATTAAAAATCGTACAAGGACCAGATCGATGCCATAAATGATCAATCGTGTGGTTATTGATATCACTGCTATGGCCCATTGTACTATTCTTTGTCATTTGTATCGTCCCTATAGTCATATGTACCATTCCTGTGGTCACTTGTGCCACATGTTGCAGAGAGACAGACACAGGTGAATTTCGGTTTCTAGACTCTATCCGTTCAGTCTAGGGAAAATAATTAGTGATACAAATTACTGTCATAGAGTTTTGGTATTCTCTGTCAAATCTGATAATGTGAACTTGTCAAATTGAACAAAGTCTAATAGTATTAAAGAATGTAGTTTTGTTTTCTTTTGCGATTATTAGACAACTCGTGAAAAATACTGGAAATGGTTTTTACGGCAAGGGTACGGTATTTTTCACTAATCAGGGTAAAAATTGCGTCTTTGTAAAAGGCTGTTTACGGTTAAAATAGAAGTTATACAAATCAGTGAATAATAAATATTAATTATTTACGGTAGTTTGTTTTATTTTTGAATTTCAGATTATATTAACGTATATCCATCGTAAAAGAATTGTCATATTAAACTGAATAATAACTATTCTAGACTAAATCTAAAGTATGAATTTTCAAAATGAATCCTATATTTGAAATCAAATCTAGTTAAGTAATAGTTTTTCGTTGAATTCTTTCATGAAACAAAAGTAATTTTTATATATAACAATCGTTATAACGTACAGATAGTGTTTTCTTTTAATGAGAAAAAATGCAAAAACCGTTGAATTTTTCAAAAGTAGCAAAGAACTATTGGCAAATTAAATGGCTTACAAAGAAATATGTTTCTAAGATCTCGTTATAAAACAATTTGAAAATAAGTATTGTTTAGATCAATAGGTTATAGTCATTAATATTTCCATTTGAATGATTAGATTGTCAATATAGAGACATCTTCTTTTATACAGCTTAAAGAGATTCAAATGAAAAAGTTATTGAAAGTAATTTTCTATTCTTCAACAGATTCTTACGTTTTGTGATGATAAAATTCGACTATCTTCTTATGAACTATTTTTAAAGGTATCTCAAGAAATCCGACATAATTCAAACAATGCATTTTGGTAATATCAGCATTACAGGCATCAATTATACAATATGAAAAATCAAAATAATTTTTTTTTTTGGAGGGTGATCATCTTTGAAACTAAATACAGTCGGAAAAAGAAAATATACCGCAAAATTCAAACTAAAAGATGATACTCAATGAGATTAAAAATCGAAATTCTACTTTAAACTTACCTTTCATACGTATTTCTTGAATTATATTCAGATAAATCACTGTACTTTCTATTTGGTATACCAATGGATTGAGAAACAATGGAATTAGAAGTGAAATTTTTCGAATAATCCTCGCAAAAAAAAAATTAAAATATGAATTCATCTTTCGATTTCTGATTAACTGATGAGAACAGATTACCTTACTTTAAATAAAAACTCAAGAAATGGAATTTCTGGTTGAACTTCTCGAAGATGTATTATATAATGACCATTCGTTTTTTCATGGCATGAAACAACTGTAAATTGTTGTCCAGGTAGAAGAAGAATTTCATTAATATCACTGAATTTTGAATATTGTCGAATATCTTTTCCATTGATACATTGAATAGCGATAACAGTTAGTGGTCCTGTTGAACCCAACCGTTGTTTACTTTTCAAATCATCCATTATTAATGTGTATGAACTAAATTCGCACCAAAAGAATGTGTCTTCTTTGCGATAATATTCTTGCATATTACCTTTTATTCTACTATAAACGAAACCATGGAATGATGGAAGACGATTCAATGCGGTAAGAAGTAATTTCAAATAAAGGAACCAACGAGCTAATACGTTTCGATTCCCATCATGAAGAGCACGATTTAAAACGATACGAAGACATTCTTCTTTTGGTTTCCATTCCATTGAATAAAGCATTATTGAAGCTGATTCATCTATTGAAAGATTATTCGTCACAGTGTTTTTGCATTTCATTTTGGCTTCATTTGCCCTATCTTTGACATTGGGCACAAATAAAACTATTGGTTTAACAGCTTCTTCAAGGGTGATCAGAAACTTTTTCTGATAATCTTGAGTTGATGTTAACGTTTTAGAAGATTCATGAAAAATTTCTTCACTCTGATGATTATGAAAAGTTTTATTTTCAACAGAATACTTTGTAGCCATTTTGAATTTTAAAATTGCAATTAATTTCTAAAAGATAGAATATTCTATTTTATTGAATAAGTACGGCCTTTTAATGACTTTTATAATTGTATTCAACAATAAAATATATATAATTAAGAGAAGGATGTAGGTTTAATTAAATGGTTTGATTCATGCTCACATTCACATCATTCTTAAAGAGATGATGAAACACTTGACAGAGACAGATCCATGTCATCGAAATCGCGTAAAACTCGTCCACTTTATCGCGATTTATGTTGGTTTTTAAAGAATATCCTGATTATTCAAAAAATATTTTTTATGATCCCGTAATATTTAGATCTGTGGCAATGATCATGTTTCGACGTCCGTATTATCGAACTTTACCGCCATACTTATACATATTTCTCATGAATGAGGAGAAATGCCTTTTTCTTCCTATGAGTGACTAATGATACTGAAATTTCATTAAATAGAAAAATACACTTAATGCTCATTTGAGTATTTTCAAAAGATCTAAAAAGAAATTTGAATAAAATAATACTATCTCTTTATCGACAAGATCAGGCTATAGAAGTAGGAAAGATAAAACTTTTTAAATAAAAGAAACTTGCTAGCGCAGTCAGTTTCAGACTAAAATTTGAAATTCACGTATTTTTTTAGTATGATTTAACCAATAAAAAAATGCGTCAAATGAAAAGTCTCTGGTAGACTACAAGTCTTTTTCAAGATAATCAATCATTAGAGCACGAATCTCTCTTATTTGTTTCTTTTATTTTTGCTATTCACTTGTTTTTTTTTCTTAATTTAACATTATTATTGCAAATATTGATTTAACTGGCTAATGCCTGATTGCTTAAGTCTGTAATGAAAAGAGGAGTGAAACAGAGAAGTTCGACTTAAAACTCACACTCAATATTTTCCTAGAAAACATACATGAATTTCACAATAGTTTTCGTGTTCACGGATTGGATCAGATGATCGGAGAAAAAAAAGGGTATTTTGTTTTTATATAAAAATATGTATCATTGATTTTTGTGGAATAATCGCTGATTGGTTCGAATAGCAAACGAAACCGTGAATTAATCACCAGAAATGACACGACTTTTATGACATGACATAGGAACAATTTAAGATCGTCTCAGTAATTTTTTGCAAAGTTGGTTAAACCCAAAATAAACCAATCGATGAAATTTCCATTTTATAAAAGAAAAAAAGAGTTAGAATGAAATATTTTTTGGGATTCGAAAGTAACTATTATCATCCCCAATATATCCCACGAAAAGATTGTTGAATAACCTCATTTCATATTTTATGTAATTTTCTTGTTATGTTGTATTAGGTGACAAATGGATAATGATAAAAATCCATGAAGAAAATAGAAATAGTTTCATGTAGTTTTCGGTCTCGTACGATATATTTTTCTGCGCTGTACATGTGGATCAAAATAATAAAAGACCGTCTAATTTCTGATATGAAATAATTTTATTACATGACGACCATGTTTAGAACAATACGATACCTTCGGATTTCACTCATCAATACGGAAAAATTGAGTCATCATTTACACACGTAGTGAAGAATGATTGTACAAAAACAAGTAAAACAAATCTGCATATGACAAAGTAAATATTCAAACGCAAAAACTTACTCTTGTTCTTCCAATGAATACTCTACAGCACAAAAAAAAGTTTTTTCTACCAATACTCTTCAGTCGACCGTTTTGTTGATGTGCTCGTGCGCTATG